TCTAAAGCTTTTAATGCAAACTAAAAGAATCCCTGTCTCTGAAGAGTGCTACTGTATGTGATAATCCTCCTGAATACATCTGTCTCTGGTGACAGTGTGTTACAGACGCTTATACTAGTATCTTAGTGTTACTGCTAAGATTTGTGAGTTTCCTCCTTCTCTGTAAAAAGGTGGTGGTGGCAGTGTGAAGGGTTAATTGCATAATTAACCTGATCTAGTAACAATCGCCCTCAGGCTGCTGGCACATAGATTGTGGTCCCGCGAGCTGGAAAATATTTGTGCAGGGAGCAGCTGAGAGTGGCATTGTTTCGGTCACAAGTTGGTGAGAAGGGCTTGGGTCTGACGCCACGCAACCATCACACCATTGTCAGACCTACGCTGGTGCAGTGGGTCCTGGGTTCCTCCTGGTGCCCGACAATGCCCGCCTCATGTGGTGAGAGTATGCAGGCAATTCCTGGAGGATGAAGGAATTGATACCATTGAATGGCCCCCACGCTCGCCTGACCTAAATTCAATAAAACACCTCTGGAATATCATGTTTCAGTCCACCTCAGACTGTCCAGTAACTCAGTGATGCCCTGGTCCAGATCTGAGAAGAAATACCCCAGGACACCATCACCAGGACTACTGAGTACCATTTTGAGTTGCTGTAATGACATTTCAGCAAAATAGACTAGCCTGCTGCATTTTTTCACTTTGATTTTCAGGGTGTCTTTGAAGTCATTCCTCTGTTCCTAACATGTTACCCAGTCCATATCAGTATAGATATCCAGCATGATATTTTTTTCCCATTGAGATCTGATGTGTTTTCAAAGTGTTCCTTTAATTTTTTTGAGCAGTGTATTTTTTAAAGTATTCTTACTTTACATCATTTCTTAACACCTGCCTATAACTTTTGTACAGTACTGCATATATTTTTCTTTGGTTTTTATTGGGCTTAAATAGTAAACAATTAGAAAAAATGTTTCCCAACAAAGTCTACTGATTAAAATGATATTAGATTAGTGCAATTTTTTTTCACTGTACAGTAACAGAATAGTAAAGCTCAAAGTGAACGCATGTGTTTCTGTTAGGAAGGTTTTACTCCCCTTTTGATGATACATTCCACTTCGCACAGCTATGTCATTCATTCACATAGATGACACTTCCACCAGCTCTCCAACTGAAAGCCTGTGTATGAGCAGGGAGTTGTAGGATGTGTTTGCCTCTGATCATGGATGTTTGCAATGTTTTGTAGAAAAATAATAAATGCAAAAATATTTGCATTTTTAATTTTTTTAAAGGTAAACCTAGTGATAGTTGGGACGCAAGTGGTTATTATAATTTTTAAAGCAATTATCAGTCCTTTGAAATATGCAGCTTTAAATAATCCATGGTGATCCTGCCATGATGGTTCTTGTTCAGGCACTTTCTGTTTTAGGGTGACAATGATGTTTCCCCTGTCTCCCAGCTGTAATCCTGCATTGTCATCTTGTCACACAGACTTCTGATGGAGGTTACAAGTTGATGTTTCAATATGCATTACACAGGCATGGTCCAATGTTTTCAAATTGATAATGTCTGTGCTGAAATCCAGATAGCTTACATTTATATAACATAAGAGGTGCTAGAGCATTGTGACCATATGTTACCTTCTGCACATTGCTATATGCCTCAGGTTTCCACCTTGTTTCTGGCAAAATAAAAAACAGAGGGTGGAGTAGGCAGTAGTGCCAATAGTGCTGCATGTAGTGGGCCATGCCAATCTGTTTTTAAGGGCTAAAGAACCTTGACATCTGCACAGGATGATGATGATGTCTCAGTAATCAGCAGCACTGCAGACAATTGACAAAGGGCATGGCAGCCTGATCCACCCTGTGTTTACTTTGCAGCTTCACACAATGGAGTCTGTGCTCCCATTCTTTTGCCACTGCTCTACCTACTGTTGCTGATCAACTTGCTCTCAAGTGAACATACTCTCGAATCCAGCGCCAGGTCTCTTTGCACAGCTCCTGCCTGCTCTGAGCTGTGCTGCCACTTTCAGCGATCCTCAGGAAGGTGGCAGATGCTTGCTCCCTCCACACAGCAACTGCTCACCTTCCATATTCTGGCCCAGCTTCCCACTGTGCTAAACTTCCACAGTCACAGTACTGCTTAGCCAGAGGGCAGTAAGGTGTATGGAGTCACCTGCGTCATAGCAAAAGACACAGGCATGCATGAAACTGTGGGACAAACTTGGTCCCATATAGAATTCATACTGGCACCTTCATTTAGTCTAAATTGAAAAATCTAGGGGTGATATTTAATTATCTACTTTAACCTATGATCCACATGTACAAAATTATATCAGAACATCTTTTTTTTTCACTTGAGAAACATTGCTCTTTTGCGTCCTATGATATCTTTACACTGTAGTTGAAAAGCTGATCCATACATTTGTGTTCTCCCTACTTGACTACTGCAGTACTCTACTCACTGGTTTACCTAAGTCCATAATTAATAGAATTCAATATGTACAAATTTCTGCTGCCAGAATCCTGACTAGGTCTGGCACAAGTGATCATATTATCCCTATCCTGGAGTCCTTGCACTGGATACCCAGCAGGTTTCACATAGACTTTAAGATCCTCTTGCTCATCTGTAAGGCTCTTCATGGTTTGGTACCCCATTATCTCTCTGAACTAGGGGCGGACTGACCATTTGCAAACTTGGGGTATGCCCGAGGGCCCGGGGTCAGTAGGTGGCCCCATGAGATGCCCCTGGTACCTTTTTCATAGGCTTTTTTGAGTTTGGGCAAGGACACAGGGGCCCATGATCCCCTATTGCCCGGGGGCCCCATGAGTTGTCAGTCTGCCCCAGCTCTGAACTTTTATCAACTTACTCCCTCCCTTGTAACCTCTGCTCCTCAAATGCTGGTCTTCTGTGTGTTCCCCCTACTCACCTACACCTAATGGGAGACAGAGCCTTCTCCTGCTATTCTCCAAAACTCTGGAATTCACTACCAAAGAACATCCAAGAGTCACCTTTTCTAAACTCATTTTCACTTATTGTCCCTTTTTACCTTTATTTTATCCTGTGTCTTTCTTGTGTTTTCTTTTCAAAGCTCTTTGAGAAGCTACCTTTAAAGGCACTATATAAAATAAAGTTTATTATTATTAATAATAATAATAATAATAATAATAATAAAATTAGGGATGGACTTGTATTATATGGGATTGGTAGCAACTTAATACACACCCATACATGCTTCTAGCAAACTTTTGCATAAAAGCAGAAATTCTTAGTTTATATATATTACAATACATGTTCAAGCTGGTCAGCTGGGTCAAAGTGATTCCTCTCTGTCCAGTCCCTGCTCTACTTTTCAAAATGCCAAACACTTAGCAGCACATTGTATTCATGTTAGATAATTTCTGACTAGACTCTTGGTTGTGATCTATAAATCTATAAAAATGTTTCAGATTTCATGTGAACAGTACATTTATTTTCCCATTGATTATTAATTGATTCATTGATCTTGGTGTACCTAATTGCTCAATGTTTTAATTCAGATTCCTAAAAGACAAAACATTACCTTGGTAGTACAATTTTGAATGGCAATACATATTCTTGATCTAGTCAAAATCTTAGTATTTGTCACTTCTCTTTCTGTTCCTCGCAAGTTATTTTTATTAAATTGGGCAGCCCAGTGGCTAAATGGTTAGCACTTCTTCCTGGCAGTACCATGGTTGTTGGTTCGAATCCCAAATCATGGCACCACCTGCCTGGATTTGCATGTTCTTCCTGTGCCTGTGTGGGTTTCCTCCAGGTACTCCGGTTTCCTCCCACACTCCAAAGACATGCTGCTAGCTTTATTGGATCCTGTCTAAGTTGGCCCTAGTATGTGTATATATGAATGTAAGTTAAGGACCTTAAATTGTACACCCCTTGCAGGTTAGGGATTGATGTGAATATACAATATATATGTGAAGCGCTGTGTAAAATTTACAGCACTATATCAGTACCTGTAAAAAAATAAATAAATAATAAAATAAATAATTAAACTGGAAATCAATTAAGCTGGGTTCATAATAATCCATGTCTGGTTTTGTCAATTTTTAGAGCACCTTTTATCAGGCATTGTAGCAGGTTTACAAACATTTTCATTAATCTGTTGGGCAACACAGCACATGAAAACATACAGAGAAGAAGACAGGTCTCATTTTTCAGACCGCAGCACAATATACAGCAGAGGTTAACATCATTCTTATGACACATTTGTTTTTTTTCCCTTATAATGTGCACTATAAATATGAACGAATGAACACAGCCTTAAGCCCTGGTTCACACTGATGCGGTGCAGAATTTGCAGAGTTTGCAGTGCGAATTCCGCACTGCATCAGAATCGCACCCAATTTATGCAAACCGCTGCAGGTGTGTATGTTAAGAGGTCCACAACACGCGGTGCAATGTGCAGAATCAGATCACATAGGTGCGAATACCCATGCGATCTTATTTTAGTGCGGATTCAAAAAAGGGTGCTGCATGTTTTTAGTGTGGGTGCGGTGCGATTAGAGCCATACAAAATGTATGGCTCCAAACGCACCACACCAGGGGTGGACTGACAACTCATGGGGCCCCTGGGCAACAGGGGATCATGGGGCCCCTATGTCCTCGCCCACACTCAAACCACACCCAAAAAAACCTATGAAAAGGTACCAGGCCCTCTACTGACCCCGGGCCCTTGGGCAGTGCCCGAGTTCCCAAATGGTCAGTCCGCCCCTGCACCGCACACAAATCGCATGTGATTTGCACAGGAATGTGGTGCAGTTCCTGTGCGAATCACATGAGATATATCACAGCGTATGTATGTGAACCCAAGCTAAAACAGAAATAATAATTTCCGAACATTTGCTTATCTAGCAAAGTGGTAGAAGCATAAGTGACTTTTTCTTTACAGTAAGCTTAGTTCAGACATTGCTTATGCCAGCATTGATCTTGAATCATAGTATTGTAACTTTGTGTTGTTTCTTTGTGTGCAGGCTAGCCTTGGAGGGCGTGTTAGAATGATTGTAACAGGAGCTGCACCCGCATCACCTACAGTTTTGGGATTTCTACGAGCAGCCCTTGGATGTCAGGTAAATGAAATTATTTTTATAACTTTTGTAAACTTTTAAATAAATGTATATTTTAAAATGCTTTTTTTGTTTTATTAATGTCTAACACAATAAGTAAGCTACTGCATGCTTGCAGACACAGTTTTTATGATGCTTGAAATAGTTTTTTCTATTCTGAAAGACTGAATGAGCAATAAAAGAAAACCCTCTCTGCTTTTTAATTCATTTGATGTTGTTTACCAGAAACAAAACGGGTTGGGTATACAGGGATTTATACTGCGATCTTTAGAGGTCAACCACCTTCTCAGTATATATATTGTATGTTTAAAACTCTCAGACAGCGATTCTCAGAATTGCATCTCTGGTAACATCTGTTAGTTAATCTACCTAGCATATCTGTCATAATAAAAGAATTATCAGAAGAGTTGTCCAAGAGTGTCCAAGAGCCGAGGACCACTTGTGGAGAGCTTCAGAAAGACCTTGAATTAGCAGGTACAATTGTTTCAAAGAAAACAATAAGTAATGCACTTGACCGCCATGACCTGTATGCATGCTCACCAAGCAAGACTCCATTGCTGAAGAAAAAGCGTGTTGTAGCTCGTTTAAAGTTTGCTGCACAACATTTAGGCAAGCCTGTGAAAGACAGTCTACTCAGATGAGACCAAAATTGAACTCTTTGGATGCCATATTAAACACCATGTTTGGAGGTCAAATGGCACTGCACATCACCCCAAAAAGACCATACCAACAGTGAAGTTTAGAGAGTAGGAACATAGTGGTGTGGGGCTGTTTTTAAGCATATGATACTAGCAAACTTCACATCGTTGAAGGAAGGATGAATGAGAAAGTGCACCAAGACATTCTTGATAAAAATCTGCTGCCATCTACCAGGGTGATGAAGATGAAACAAGGGTGGAACTTTGAGCAAGACAATGATCCCAAACACAAAGCCAAGGAAACTCTCAGTTGGTTTAAAATAAATACATAAATAAAGCTGCTAGAATGCATAGGATAAGCTGAATGAATAATCCCAGTATGTACAACACAATGTGTAAAATGGTGACAGTTTGTGATAAGTGATGGATACAGGAGATATTGGTGACTGTACGTTGGAGAGGTGATAGAATTGTTAAAATACGCACTCACCAGATGTTTATATACGCATATAGTCAATAACCAGAGGTCCCCCTCATGGGATGGGATGGATGAGCTGCACCGCTTATAACGAACTCTCCCCCTCTTGGTATTGGTCTGGCTAGTGACGTCTCTCCGGGGATAGCCCGAATACCACCGTGGAAACCTCTCAGATATACAGCTTGGCTGAATCGTACTGGTCCTGGTGTATTCCTCTGGTAGTAGTAGGCTGATGTCAGCAGTGTGGGAATACTTCCTATGCCTTGGAGTATGGTCTCTGGGGATGAATTGTTGGCTCGCAAAAGAGTCAACAAAAATAATAGCCCATAGTGTAGTATTTAAATAAAATAATTTATTAATCCACGTGTATAAAATAAAATGATAGAATCAAAATTGGTATAAAAACGTACACTGACCGTACATAGGTGTAAAGGAGGCCACTTATCACAAACTGTCACCATTTTACACATTGTGTTGTACATACTGGGATTATTCATTCAGTTTATCCTATGGATTGAAATCATTTATCTGGATTTGTTTTTTAGAGCTGCACTTTCTTTTTCAGTATTTTATGAGGTTTTATTATGGTTGCCTTTTTGTGCTTTTAGCTGCTATTTCTACTAAGCGCTCACTGAGAATTTTGTTTTAAAGCTGCTATAATGGCCTGGCCAATCACCTGACTTGAATTCAATAGAAGATCTATGGAAAGAACTAAAGATCAGAGTTCATAGAAGAGGCCCACGGAGCTTCATCTATTCAGAGCATAGAATCAAGTCAATTAAACTCCTGGGATATTGATCTGGTCAGTTAAGTAGCAGAGGGGGTTGTTAATCAGTTTCAGCTGTTTTGGTCTTAATGAAATTAAGAACAGGCGCACTAGATGGGAAACAATGAGACGACCCCCAAATCAGGATTAGTTTTACAGGTAAAGGCCACTTACATTTTTTTCCCTACTCATCTTTTCTTACTGTTTGTCTCTAGTTTTGCATTTGGTTAGGGTCAGTGTCACTACTGGTAGCATGAGGCGATACCTGGACCCTACAAAGGTTGCAAAGGCAGTCCAAATCCTCCAGGATGGTACATCAGTAGTAGAAGGTTTGCTGTGTCTCCCAGCATAGTCTAAAGAGCATGGAGGAGATTCCAGGAGACAGGCAGGTACTCTAGGAGAGCTGGACAGGGCCATAGAAGGTCCTTTGTGCATGGAGGAACAAGATGAGCACTGCCAGAGCCCTACAAAATGACCTCGAGCATGCCACTAGTGTGAATGTCACTGACCGAACAATCAGAAACAAACTTTATGAGGGTGGCCTGAGGGCCCAATGTTCGCTAGTGGGCTCTGTGCTCACTGCTTGGCAACATAGAGCTCTATTGGCGTTTGCCATTGAACACTAGATTTGGCAGGTCCAGCATTGGCGCCCTGTGCTTTTCATAGATGAGAGCGGGTTCACCCTGAGCACATGTGACAGATGTGAAAGGGTCTGGAGCAGCCATGGAGAACGTTATGCCGCCTACAACATTGTTCAGCATGACTGTTTTGGTGGTGGGTCAGTGATGGCCTAGGGAGGCATATCCATGGAGGGATGCACAGACCTCTACAGGCTAGACAATGGCACCCCGACTGCCATTAGGTATCGGGATGAAATCCGTGGACCCATTGTCAGACTCTATGCTGGTGCAGTGGGTCCTGGGTTCTTCATGGTGCACGACAATGCTCGGTCTCATGTGGCGAGAGTATGCAGGCAATTCCTGGAGGATGAAGGAATTGATACCATTGAATGGCCCCATGCTCGCCTGACCTAAATCCAATAGAACACCTCTGGGATATCATGTTTCGGTCCATAGGACGAGGCCAGGTTGCACCTCAGACTGTCCAGGAGCTCAGTGATGCCTTGGTCCAGGAAGGAAATAACCCAGGACACCATCCGTCATCTCACGTGGCAGCCATGTAAACTACTGAGTACCATTTTGAGTTGCTGCACGAAATTTCAGAAAAATCGACTAGCCTGCTGCATCATTTTTTCAATTTGGTTTTCGGAGTGTCTTTGAATTGAAGTCCTCTGTAGGTTGATCATTTTCATTTCCATCAAACAATGGGGCATCCTTAAGTTCTTAACACATTACCCAGTCCATATCAGTATAGATATCCAGCATGATATTTTTCCCCATTGAGATTTGATGTGTTTTCAAAGTGTTCCTTTAATTTTTTTTGAGCAGTGTATTTACCTAGAAAAATGGTGACATGTTCAATACTTATTTTACCCTCTGTAATCTCAGCCCAATTCATGCAATCTGAATGGAGCTCATGGTTAACATTAAAAGATATAAGGGAGAGCATGTTTGCACAAGTATGCAGTAGCCATTTACAGAAACTGTTGGGAATGAATTCATGCCAACTTGCAATGTTATTGAAAGGCTCACTTTAACTAAGCCAATGTTGTTTACTGATAAAATTACATGTTCCTGAAATGTAAATCTATTCTTCATTATATCAACCTGACTGGTACAATGTTTTTGCTAGGTCTATGAAGGCTATGGGCAGACAGAATGTACAGCTGGTTGCACCTTTACCACTCCTGGGGACTGGACATCAGGTATGTGTGTCTGTTACATATTTATCATATGTGCATCCAGTAATATGTCTTCATCATGCTATGGGACACACATATGCATCCAAAGAGCATGATCCCTGAATAAAAATATTATTCTCACACTTCCGCACTTCAACAAGTTCTTAACAATTCCATATGGGATTCAAATAGAGTGTTTAAATCAAAAGCATGTCCATACATTTGATAAACATGCACCACCAGGCTATATTCGAAAGATGAATTCCAATCTAAATGCATCATTTGTAAACTGGGAATATATGTATGGTGTTTCAGTTTTGTTAATGCAGTGTTTACTATTAGCACTATGTCATTGGTATGTGTTGTGGCCACAACTAGCCACTGCAAAGAATCTTACTCATCCCTACAGTGCATCCATATTTCTACTACATTTTAGTTGAAAATGGCTAGACATCTGATGGAAACTGAATTTAAGCTACATTGCAGATACCACCACCAGAAGGAATGTACAGTACCATTGACATGGCTTTTTATCTTGACTGGAATTCTTCTGGAAAACTGTAAATCTAAAATTGAGCTTCGAAAAAAACAATGCCTGCTTTATATATCCTGGCTTTGCTCTGGGTTGACATGGGCCTGAGGACAGATAAGTCCATTCTTTACCCAGTAGAATACACCCAAATCCCCATGTCACTACAGGCTATGACTGAATTACTTAACCTGGTTCTGCTGTGGGTTGACTTAGGCCTGGAGACAGATTAGTCCTTCACCCAGGAGATTACACCTCAAGTTTTCATTTTACTACCCATTAAATTTAAACTACTCTATTGATACAGTATGTTGAGCAATTTATTACTCCAGTTTTTACCATACTATAGTGATGGCCACAAATCTGTCATTTGGTGGTAAAAATGTGAAGGGAGGGGGTAGGTAGATGTGTGTGAATGATGGATACCTTGTCTTTTCAGTGTATATGCTATGTTAGTAATGTGTTATGACAATAATCCATTTGATCACTTTGTATTCTACAGATTATTTTTGTACCCAGTGGTTTTATCCTACAGCTGACCAATGTATCCAGTGAGCAAAAATGATTTTAATATTCATCTTTAACTAATATGGTAACATACATAGTAGTTTGGCTATATCACTGGATCCCTCATACGGCCAGCACATTCCTTTAAAGTGTTACTAAACTCTGCATTCACTATATCTGGTCCACAGTATACAGAATATGAAAATTCAATTATTTTAGTAAATATAAATTGCCAAATACCTTTTCTCATCAGCAGTATATAGCAGTCTTTTGACTTCTGTCAGTTTCTGGCTGAGCACTGTTTAATATTGTAGGAGGAGTTTTCATTTTGTTTTGACTGTCCTGTGAAGCTGCATTACCCCTGACCCTCTGCTTGGACAGTTCTGATTGGCCGTGTGCTGATCACATACACTCTCCCAAAGAAAAAAAAAAGCTCTCTAGCAATACACACCAAACAAAGCATGTGCAGAATGTCTCCTAGAGCTCTGTACTATCAGCAGATGGATTGGGGACAGTAGAAGAAGGGGAGGATTAGAGAAGGATCAAACAGCCTTTTTACACAGTGTGGAGGATTAACCCTTTAGGTTCCACAGTGAGTATAACAAGCATGCTTTACTGCATATACAGACTGATTTTCCTGTTGTGGGTTTAGTAACATTTTAATACGCAGTGATTTGGTACAGTCATTGCAATGGTGGAGTGAATATCAGATACAATATTGGGGTAAATAATTATCACATGAATATTTGTATTTTCAGGTAAGAAGCAACAGAGATATGCAAAGAAAAGCAACTAATAGCAAACAACTGGATTTCTTTTTACTAGAACCAAATCAGTAAAGAAGATATTTAATATGTGCTTGCATTACATTACTGCACTTTGCATATATCACTCATATTGAATAAACCCCCTGGTGGATTTTTTCTTCAGAAAGAAGCATAAGCCCAGGAAAGATTATACCACTGTGCGACTCTGGCTGTGCTTAGCCATATTAGATACTGTGATATTTCTAGGGGCAGGTGAGGATGAAGAGAGAGTTGTACAATGTCTGCAGAGCTGTTGCTAAATCAGGAATTTCAGAGCATGATATTTCATGGGCCAATTCACTGCTGAGTCAGGGATGGCAAACATGAAGATCTCAAAGTCTGCTTGTAGGCAGGTGCAATCTGTAGTCTCTACTGCAGGTGGCACTCGACCATAGTGGCAATGCAGATGGGGGAGGAGGTTAAGAGAAACTGGATTTCTCTGATTTCCTCGGTCACGCTGGACAGTGAGCCAATTGGATGCAGTGGTCCCATGTGACCCTGGTGGCCATCTTGTGTCAGACAGAGTCTATTTAAAACTATCACCCCTGGAATTGATAAACTTTATGCAAGTAGCTAGTGTAGGGACAGGATCCCTGTCTGTCAGGGACAGTGCTAGCGATAGAGAAAGGTTCCAGTGGAACATAGAGAGAGAGCAGGAACTACATCTACATTCTCAGGAAGCTTACCCTTGGCATGACATGGATCTGGCAGGCCACACAGTACTCCTTGTGGCAGAAAATGTCAGCATCCTTGAGTCTTCAGACTGCTGTCTCTCTGCTGCACTGTCATAAGTGGTACCAGACTGGTGAACCTCCCCACAGAGCCTGCTTGTACTATTGAGCTACTTTTATAATACATCAAATCTGGACAAAATTGGACTCTTTGTGTTTACTGCACCTACCCAACATGCTGCTGAGCCATGAATGTGGGCACAGGGACAGTTACTGGCACACTGTGTTGCTGATCTAGTGATAGGTGGGGATTTTCAGGGAAACTGCTGAGTTATGAATAAAAGGCAAGGCCATTTCTATAGATGTAACACTTCTAAGACATGGATAAGGAGAGTGATATCCCCAAAGAAATGTACTGCTGAGAAAAAGATGAATGCACAGGGAACTTTCCAGGTAGTGGTGCTTGACTAGGGTTGAGTTTGACATTAGCATTTGCAGGAGCATTGCTGAGCCTGGAATGAGGAACACGGAGATTTGCAGGTACTGTTTGCTGTTGAGATGGAGATTTGAGCTGAGCTGATTAGGGCACCGAGATATTTCCTAAAACAAGAAAAAGAAGCATAAAGCAATCACATTTTGTGTAATCATGTAGTACTGGCATGCAGACACACATACCAGTACTGCACCAGTATACATAACATTAAATGTCAGTCCTGTTGTTTTTTTGTGTGTTGTCCTGCAGAAAGCCAAAATCCAATACTTACAAAGTTGAAAATAACATACTAAAAAATACAATGTGACGGATTTTCCCCAGAGCTAATACAATGTGTACCTGAATGTCATTCACAGGACACGTGGGAGCACCATTACCCTGCAACTTTATCAGATTAGTTGATGTAGAAGACATGAATTATTTTGCTTCTAAAGGAGAAGGAGAGGTATGTAAATATATTTTGTATGTTTGCCATTGTGTGTTGTCCTTGCCCAAAAGTGCACTTTTTTAACCAGAAGTACACCTTCTTCACCCTCAATTCCTAGAAGTATACCTTCTTCCTCAGAAGTACATCCCCTTCCTAGAATTTCCTCTCCTTCATTTGTGGACTTGGAAGGTATGACCTGGGTTCTCTCTTTGTCTGGTGACTGCGATGGCCACTCCAAAATGTTCCAGCCTTTCGTCTGTCAAACCATGCCTCTAGTGGACTTGGAGGTATGCTGGGTCATTGTCCTGTTTCCAACGTCTCCAAGAACCTTTCCTTCTCCTGAAGTGCACCTCCTTCCCTAAACAAGTACCCTCCTTCTGAAGTACCCCACCTTTTCCAGGAGTACCCCTCCTAACCCCCAGAGTTTCTCACCTTCCCCAGAAGTACAGTTTTTTTTCCTCAGAAATGCAACTCCTTCCCACAAAGTATACCTTCATCTCCAGTAGTACCCCTCCTTCCCCCAAACTACATATCCCTTTCCAGAAGTATATATTATTCCCCAAAAAGTATACCTCCTTCCCCTTCTTTTCCAGAAATACTCCACTTTTCCCAGGATTTCCCCTCCTAACATCCAGAGCACACTTTCTTTCCCAGAAACGTATACATCAAATGACACATTTTTAAACAGTAATACCCCTACGTGTCCAGAAATGCACCCCCTTCCCACAATATATTCTTTTGTTCCAGAAGTATCCCCAAAATTACATCTCCTTCACCAAAAGTATATATTTTTCTCCTGAATTATGCCTCCTTCCCAGAAGTAAATCTCCTGTTCCCAGGAGTAGCCCTCCTTCCCCTGAAAGTACGCTTCCTTCCCCAGAAGTACCCTTTCTTTTTTCAGAAGTACCCCTCTTTACTTAGAGGTACACCTCCAGACACCCTCTTCTCCAGAAAAACAATTTAAATAACTTATTTTCAGTGATTGTGGATTTATATTATTAAACTTTAGCACTTCTTTGATATACATAATTACACTGTATGCTGAATTCTTGCGCAGTCAGAATGGGGAATCCTTGACCTGCAAAATCAAAGTTGCAGATTAGTTGTAATAGTTACTCGTGGATTTTACACTGCAGGAGATGCTGTGGTATACTCAGATATTCAGGGTAAGCAGTTACAGGAGAGAAGAAATAACCTTGGGCAGATAGACCTCTTACCAGGCTTGATAACTCTAGCTGCCAAACCCAGCATTCTTTGGGTGCCCAAAATGTTTAGCTTTCTTTCAAAATACTTCTGTTTCCCAGTGTGATGGTGTAAAAGCTTGATCCTTCCAGAGACAAGTACTACCAAGCAGGGGCGGACTGACCATTTGGAAAATCGGGCACTGCCCAAGGACCCGGGGTCAGTAGGGGGCCCCATGAGATGCCCCTGGTACCTTTTTTCAAAGGCTTTTTTGTGTTTGGGCAAGGACACAGGGGCCCCATGATCCCCTATTGCCTGGGGCCCCATGAGTTGTCAGTCCGCCCCTGCTACCAAGTGGTTTCTACGCACAAGTCTTACAAGACGACTATGCCGTCTCCTGGCATTCCCTGTAATTTTGCCAGGTGACAATAGTGGCCTTACAGCATTTCCGAACTGCAGTCATCACATCACTGCAAAAAGGCTGGTCCTGGTGCCCAGATTTGTTGAGACTTGCTACTCTGTATACCTGTCCTAATTTTTCAAGTTTAATAGAAGCATATGCATAAAGTGATATTAAAATGATATTAAAGTAATTTGTTTTTCATAAATTACATACTAGTAACATAACTTACATGCATTTACTGAATAAGTGTGTGTGGGGTGGTTCATAGCAGGATCGTGCTCATATGAGAGACTTTTATGGGAATGTATAGTTCCCAGCGGCACAGGGGTCACAAATATAGAGGTAGTGTTTCAAAAGCAAGCTCAGAGGAAGTCATTAATAAAAAAAAATGCAAAAGTAAGTTATTTTATTAATATCTGAAAAAAATTACTTTTAATATTACTTTAAAGAAGACCAAAATGGACTATTTGCTAGTATTTTCTGTATGCTGCCTGTAACTCATCTTTTATCCATTATTGATTTACAATGCATTGTTCTGCACTGTGTCTCTGAGTGGAGACGCCCAACTTGGTAGTTATGGCTCTGCTTCATTATGTCAGAGCTGCCACCCTGGTGACTGATGATCTGATGACTGGTGGGGGAATATTCAAGAATTAGTAGGGGAGATGGAGGAACACAGACCCACAAAATTAATGGAGCAGAAAAGAATACAATGAGTAACACAGTAGCACCATCAACAAATCTCCCAACCTTAGATCAGACACTGCAGATATACAGCTATGGGGCAGTAGTCCCAGGAGTGCCTAGGTACCCTCACATTGCTATTCCTAAATGTTCCCTATAACACAGCAAGTTTTTACTTTTTAAGTTCAGGTCCACTTTAAGCATGACAATTACATATTGTTTAAAAACCAGTTTCATATGGACGTTATCATATCTAGTGAGAAAAATGTGCTTTCATAATTAAAGCTGCACAAACCTATTTCACAAAAAGCCAGTCATTTTCAATATATGAATCCATTCATTTTCAATTCTGAACTTTTGGCTCCAAGCTATGCAGTTTCACTTTAAACTGCATTAACAAATAAATATTTTTTATCTGGCACTTTGAAAAAGACACATGCATTTTTTTCCACTACCCTGTTTGAAATTGCTATCTTTTTAGGTTGATATCACAGTATCTGATGTGGCAACATATCACTGACTATGGCCTATGTTGCTCTAGAAGTACATTTAAAGATAGGAAGGTGAGAGACTTTCAAGAAGATTAAAAACCTGCCTGCCAATGAATATATATGAATGTCAAATTTCTTTTGCCTGATGCTGAGAGCATTTGTTTGAGTAGGACTGAAAAGTGTATTGCATATGATATACATGATGTACTTTGGGTTGCAACTACTGTTATAATGATGTTACACTAGTAAAACCTTCAGATCTAGCTCCCCTCACTGATATTGAAGCAATCTGCTCTTCCTAAAAAATGCCATGTATATCAAAAAGGTATATACAGTATAACTGGGAGTAAAAGTAGAACAAAACAGAACCTTTCAACCCTGTAAACAGACTCCTGGCTGCTATAGAGGCTGGGTATGTGTTCACATCTCTTTAGCCAACTGTTGGCTTTTTACTACACCCACCTGCTCACTTACATATACACCAGAATATGATGACCCCCTCCCTTATTTCCTTCCCACCATGTATCTTGGGCTCCAGCGTTCCTCCCGTGTGCCTGGACAGCCATGGAAGATGTCAGCAGGTAGAATGGAGGGGTATCAGTCAACATCTGTTCTCAGATTCTTCTTCAAAAAAATGCCACCCAAGGCAAATTCCTACTTTGCCTTTTGGTAAATATAGAATTCAATCTCAGCTATGTGTTGTGTGTGAGGAGGAGAAGATTTGCTGCCTGTGCCCAGGCTGTGTGCAGTGCAGCGATGGGAGAAGGTGCTCTGCTGAGTGCCCTGCCGATAGTGACCCCTGTCTTCTGCTCTGCTGGAAGTGACTCCTGTCTTCTGCCTTGCCAGCAGTGACCCCTTTCCTCCGCTCTTCTGACCCCTGTTCTCTGCCTTGCTGATATCTGTCGTTACATCTGCTGACCACTGTGTTCAGCTCTGCTGATGCCTATCCTCTGCCATGCTGATCCCTGTTCTTTGCCCTGCAGATCCCTGTACACTGCCTTACAAGTAAATGGCCTTTGTACACTGCCGTACAAACTGCTGACCATATCCTCTGCCCTGCTGATCCCCTGTATAGTGCCCTGCTGACCTCCCATCCTCTGGCACCCCTGACATTTCTAATTGCACATTCACATTAGACAGGCTACATCCAGCCCCTGACTATAGGTGTTCTTTATGTGTACATTTGAATTTATCAAGTATGTTATATTATCTGTTGAGATAGTTAAAACCAGGGCTGGATCTAGCCAGTTTGACGTGGGTGCAGTAAAAAAATGTCAGGTGGGCAGAGGATGGGAGGTCAGCAGGGGAGTGTACAGGGGTCAGTGTGGCAGTGTACAGGGGGTCAGCAGGGCAGAGGATATATAATATGTTTCTAAAGGAAAATGTAGCCTTTAAAGAGTATAAACAATATGTAAGTATTGGCAATATTAACATAATTTATAAGAAGTAAGCTGACTGGCTTTACAATTAAGAAGTCAAGACAGCATGACAAAATGTGAGCAAGACTAGGATTATGAAAGTCATAGATCACCCTGGGACAGAACAGAAAAGTTCTGCGGCTGGCCAGTAGGGGGTCTTAAAGGGGGATTGAACAGAATCTGCACCTGCTGTATACAATGCACACCTATACCACAGTCCTTGTACCCAATAAATACTAATTACTGTGCCGCAACTGACAGTCTCACAGGTACAAACAAACCTCAGCACAAAGGTTCTTTTTTTTTCTTAATTAACCACTTGAGCCCCAGAGGATTTACCCCCCTTAATGACCAGGCCTTTTTTTGCTGTTTGGCGCTGCACTAATTCAAATGATAATTGCGCGGTCATGCAATGCTGTACCCAATCGAAATTTACGTCCTTTTTTTCACACAAATAGAGCTTTCTTTTGGTGGTATTTTATCACCTGTGCGCTTTTTATTTTTTGCGCTATAAACAAAAAAACCACGAAAATTTTAAAAAAAAACAATATTTTCTACTTTCAGTGTATATTGATTGCTTTGTGTGAAAGTTATAGCGTCTACACCCTATGGTATAGATACTGTAATGTATGCCTTTTTTTGCTATACAGCGCTGCACTAATTCAAATGATAATTGCGTGGTCATGCAATGCTGTACCCAAACAAAATTTACGTCCTTTTTTTCACACAAATAGAGCTTTCTTTTGGTGGTATTTGATCACCTGTGCACTTTTTTATTTTTTGCGCTATAAACAAAAAAAACCACGAAATGTTTGAAAAAAAAAACAATATTTTCTACTT